AATTAAGTTCTTCATAAATTTTATGTAATTACTTATATAAATTACTTAATAAAGATATGAGCAAGGCCTCATCTTAATATTTAAAAAAAAATAATAATAATAGGGTGTGGCAACTTAGTAAAGTGGTGGAGTTGTCACACTTCCAGATAGCAGGTCTAGAGTTCGAATCCCACAGATGACGATTTTGAAAATACTAGATTTGTATTGGTTAACGTTAAGATTATCAGTTGGATCCAGATATCTGTAATCTTGATCACACTATCTTAAATGGGAGCTTTGGCGCAATAAATCCAGGAAACTGGAATTACTGAAAACCCATTTGGCAAGTCCTGAGTAGGAAGGTAGTATGATCTTCAATGGTGCTACAAGAAGACCGAATTTGGAATTGGAGACTGAGACCAGAGAACCAAGCGACCAGGTCCTTAGGTGGGGAGACACACCAGCTGAACCGCCAGGTTGCCAACCGGAGAAAAAGGACATATACTCTGGAAGCATATACCAAGAGAAAGGAGACCGTAAAGCATCTAAAGCCTGGGCAGACTGACCCTTCCGAGTTGCTGGCTGGAAGTAAGGAAAAGATCGGTAAAGAATCCAAAAAAGAAAAAAAGTCCGAATGTAGGTACTGGGGTTGTGTGAATCTTACAAGGGCGAGAAGTACATAATGGAAGACTAATTAGGAATGTTGTGGCTTAAGATACAGACTGGGTTATAGCAGTATCCTAAAAGATAGCTTGAGATACGAACTCAGTAATGGCAGCACAACAGGTATTAGTTAGAAGGAAATTACCGAACATGCAGGTATAAAAATGTGTGGGACATGGACTACTCTGTTAGGTTTACTTTGTGGATAGATTAGCCAGAAATGGTTAGTAAGTCCTAAGATGGGTGCAAAATCTATAGGTGTCGCAAAATCTAGCATATGAATAGTGAGTTATACTTTGGTTAGCTTAGGAATAGATAGCAGTTGTGACCAGAGGGTTTAAATAGGTATCCCCATAGTTGGAATGCAGATACGGCAGCTAGTGTAGAACCTAGGGTAGACTACTTAAATAGGCAACCAAAAGTTGCATGTATGGCTAGTCGTACTCTCATTAGTAATAATCAGAGAGCTTAAATAGATAATTTCCTAGTTAGGTTGCAGGTATGGTGGCTAGTGTAGAACTCAGGCAGACTACTTAAATTAGGTACCAAAAGTACACGTGTGGCTTGATATACCCTCATTGTAATTAACTGAAGTTAATAAGTTAATAAAAAGCCCCCGGCCATAGAGGTCACTTTAAAACCTTAAAAAAAAAAAAATTTATAATTAATAAATAGTAATAATTTAATTAAAATTTTATATATATAAATAAATTTTTTAAAAAAATTTTTTATATCAATTTTTTTAATTACAATTATGAATTCAAGTTCTATTTTATGTAATAGTATTTTTAACAATACTTATCCAGAATTATTATCATTGCATCAACAAATAGAAGAATTTCAAATAGCTTACCAATCTAATATTAAAGTAATAATACCTTATAATCCAATTGTTGAAAATTTTCATAATCAAGAAGAATTAGATAAATCTATTTTATTAGATGAATCTAATTTAAATAAATCTATTTTAAATAATGAACAGATAAATAAGTTTAAAAAAATTTATCATGAAAATAAAATTGAAAATATTGATGATAATAATGAAGATTCAATTTTAAATATTAAAACAAATTGGAAAAAAAAGATGAAGAAGCTTAATATAAAAAATTACAAACAACAATATATTATAAAGAAATATATCTTTAAAATTTAGTTTCTCATGAACATGCTATTTTAAATTATCAAAATTTTCAAAATTTAAATAATAATTAAAAGGATATGTTTTTACTTAGAATATTATCTGCAACTGCTCAACAAGAAATTACTACTACAGGACAAAAACGTAATAAACTTGCTAGTAAATATATATTTAAAGGAATAGAAATATGCAATAATGTATTTTTAATAATTTATGGAATTAGAGAAAAATATTGGAGAAATATTAGAAATCATTTTATTGAACATGGAATTAATCCAAGAATTTATAAATTAACTAACAAAAATAGTAATTTTGCTATATTATTTGAAATAATTTTAAATATACTTACTTTTATAATTAATTATGCAAATATTTATAGCTTGCCTTCACCAGGTATTTATAATTATTTTTAAATTTTTATTTTAATAAACTAATTTAATTTTTTAATTAATATAGGATAATATTTTTATAAAGATATTTTACTAATAATTTTTCTTCCTTTAAGTGAAAGTTATTTTTTATTATATCGATTATATATATCAGCAATAGAAGAACAAAATCAAAGTATAATTCATTTAAGTACTTTTTGTCATATTTGAAATAAATATATTTCAGAAATTAAGTTTCTTTCACCTCGAAGTGATTTATGTTATAAATGTAAAAATATGAGATTTAATTCAAAATATTGGATTAAATAAGAAACTAAAAAATATATTGAAGAATAGAATAATCATATTTTATAGGTACAAAAAGAAAGAGAATATTATAAATATTTATTTTTATTAAAAATTTTTAATTAGAGAACTGAACGACAACAAGATCCTTTAGTAGGGGGATTTACCAACCTGACCGCCAATTTAGAAAAGCCGAAAATCTGCGAGGCCATTACGGAGTACACCAACCCTGGCCAGCTGGCATGGGAAACCAGTGGTGGGGCCCTACCCACCAAGACCAGGGGCTATGGAAGTCGGGCGAGAAACCAGTCAGATGGAAAAATACCGGGCGTGTCCGGAGGACTAGCCAACCAAAATTGGAGGAAAAGGACATGTGCTATGAAATCATGTACCAAGATGAGACGAGGGCACCGGCACCTAATGCCAAGCC